CGGAGCGGAGGGGGGGAGCACGGGGGGCTTGCGCTTCCTTGGGGAGAATGGGGGACCCGGTGGAAGGCGCCTCGCCCTGCCTGGCGTGCGCGTGTGCGTGATTCCTGTCCTGTTCCGCCTGAGGTGCTGGGCTGAATCTGTCCGGGCTGCCACTGCGCCTGCATCTCAGGGGGCCCGTCCACCGTCATCACAGTGAGGTGCTCCAGCGAACAGTGGAGGACGCCGGGTGGCTTAGGTGGGCACACATCGTCCCATTGGCAGTGGTGCAATCGCTGGCCCGCGACCAGTGAACGAACCCCCTGGATTGCAACCTGGCAACTTCGAGCACGCTGTTCGCCAGCCCGCTTCGCTGCGCCACCCCTGACTCGGGTGGGTTAGTGCCTTGGAGGGGGGTTGCCGTTGTCGGGCGCGCACATGCCAGGGCCGGGTTGACGCTACCTGTCGGAGACTTGAGCACTCTCCACAATGTGCGTGACCCTCGCGCGCTGTCGACGACGCCAGGCGGTACAGCCAAAGTACCTGCGCCTCGCGTGCGACTCCTGGCGGTTAATCCACGGCAGACCCGCCCCGAGGCTCCATCTTTCAGGGGGTGGGGACCTCTGCTGGGTCCGCTGGAGCCCGCTGTGGACGGGACGCGCAGAGGCTCTTCGCCAAGTACTTGCGCCCAGGTTGCGGCACGGCGGATTCGCGCGGCGCCGGTACCTGGCCGCTCGTACCCGCTCGGTGCTACCGTTTCGTGGTGCTCCTTTGCGAAAAGGTGTCAATTCGCGAATCCGTCCAAACCTTGGACGTGCCCAGCAGCTCCCTTTGCACCAGCTGTCCACGAACGCCCAGCTCTCTCGCCACGGGGTTACGCGCGCGCACGTCACCTCCAGCCCCCCAAAGGACCGCAGCTATGCATCTGCTCACGGCAGCGAGGTCGCTCCTCGCCGCGGCCCTGGCCTTCCAGGTCGCCTCGGCACACAACATCGTCCTGCCCGCCCACGGCCTCGAGTGCTTCCACGAGAACCTGCACCGCGACGACAAGATGACCGTCACCTTCCAGGTCGGCGATCGCGAGTTCGGCAGCGCGGGGAACCTTGACATTGACTTCTGGGTATGATTCACACACCCCGGCCTAGGCAGCATCGTCACGGGTGCGATGCGAGGCTGCGGCCTGGGACACCATCGACTGACGTGGAGCTTCAAATGGACAGATTGTCAACCCCTCAGGCGGCTACGAGGTCAACGAGAAGACCGTCTCCAACGGCGACCACTCCTTCACCGCCAAGACTGACGGAAAGTACACGTACTGCTTCGGCAACCAGCACTGGGGCGCCAACAGCAAGGAGGTGTCGTTCAATGTCCACGGCATCGTTTACGTCAGCGAGTCTGAGATGCCCTCCGATCCCATCGAGTCTGAAGGTACGCGAAGGATGCATGTCCCATCTGAGTCTTTGACAGGAGTAGCTGACAGCATCTCAGTCCGCCGTCTGTCCGATCTCCTCGCCCAAGTCAAGGACGAGCAGTCTTATATCGTCGTCCGCGAGCGCACCCACCGCAACACCGCCGAGAGCACCAACGCCCGCGTCAAGTGGTGGAACCTGTTCGTCATTGGCGTCGTCATTGGAGAGTCCCTGTTCCAGGTCTGGTGGCTGCGGCGCTTCTTCGAGGTCAAGCGGGTCGTCTAAGCGGCTCTGCCTCTGCTCTTCGATTTACACCAAGCTTGCCGCAGTGGCAACGGGGAAGAAGAGGTGCGACTTGCCTTGACGGCTCCACGACCGAACAGGCTGGAGACGCGCATGTGTGCGAGTTGCTGTTTCTCTGATGCACCAGCGGGTTTGCGAGGATCGCACATTTCTGGCGCAACGGCTCGGGACGGGTCTTGGGAAATTTGATGACCAAAAGGACAAAGGAGGCATTGTGTGGCTAGCATGTGGTAATATGATAGAACCGTGGTCGGCTCCTGTAAAGAGTACGAAGCACATTGACGCTGAATGATGGCCAGCCTGATTTTTCAACTTGACCTGACTCAAATTGAAGCGTATTGTGACGTGCTTTACTGAAACGAAGTTGACGACTGGCTCATGGCTTTCTGATTCACAATTGTTCTACTTCAGAGAGGCTAATATCAACATTCAACGCCGTGCCAACTCCCAGCAATGTCCCAGTACGCAAACACAATCTCCCCATGTAACGCCATATTTACGCAGTAGGGTCCGATTCAGGCATGGCGCTCTCTGTGCTCTCGGCCGGAGCAGCCTCAACAGGCAGCTCTACATCCTTGACGGGATGCAGCAGCATCGGCGGCAAGCACATCCGCCCTTCGCCGCCGGGCATGCTGCTGGGTCCGGAGCCGCCTTGCTTGCTCTGATCCTCTGTCCTCTCGAACTCGTCGCCGCCGTCGTTGTTGACCTTGAGGCCCAGCCAGCGGCGGTACAGGTTCGGCGCGAAACCCGAGTTGTAGAACCAGCTCAGTCCGTGCATGTTGTGCTCGCGCTCGCCGTAGATGCTGGTGCGTGAGCCGCCGGCCGTGCCATCATGGCCGCCATTGTACGTTTGCGCCATGAAGTCGACCGGCCACCTCCTGTCCACGTACATGGGGTGCGGTGCATATACGGCCTTGTAGCCGTGCTGTAGAGCCACCGTCGCGGGCCACATCTCGGGGAAGGCAAACTGCTTCTTGTAGGCGGTCATGCGGTGCATCGTCATGAGTAGGCGACGAGACATGCGCGATGTAGTAATGATGGACGCACGGCGGGGAGGCATGGGGTGCGACCTGTTGAAGCCAGTGATGTCGTCCTTGAGCTGCCACGTCGTACCATCAGGGTCGAAGATGGGATTCAGCGAGATGTAATCAGCCTCTTCCCCAACACCCCACTGGTAGCGGTCTCCCTCATACGGCGTCTTGGGCACAGGATCGTGCTCCACGTCAAACCAGTCGTTCTGATCTGACGGCCGGACAGGACCCCAAACAGCCTTGCCCTTGGCTTTGGCGGCGTCCTCCGGATCCTTGACGCCAGGCATCTTCTTCCAGACATTGTCGGACCCGACGACACCCATTTCACTCTGAACGCGTGACATCTGAGAGAAATCTTCCCAGGAGCCGTGAATCGTGGGGAAGTAGAACCTGGAGCTGCGCTCCCACAGACCCTTTCGGGGCTGCGCCTTGGACCATTCTTCGAGCTTAGTAACAAAGTCGTAGTAGCTGCCAGTGTAGCGAATGTCCATCTCCCACTGCCAGAAGTATTCATACTCTGGATGCATGTAGGCAAAGTACTGCATCGCCATAGACAAGCCACGGTAGACTCCATGTACTGGAAGCTCCGGTCCGCGGCTCCAGAGGTCGTAGATGCCCTGGTACAGCGACAGCATCTGGGTCTCGGTCCACAACGTAACCAGTCCCTGAAACTCCTTGGGGATGCTGTCACGTATCCGTTGCTCGTACGCCTCGTGGTCTGCCCAGATGGGGTGATGGGCATCGTTTCGAACCTGGACGAGAAGGTGGACATCGTATCGTCCGCCAGAGCCCAACGAGAGCTCCGAGATCATAGAGCGGAGGTTGGCAATGTCGTCCTCCCGGAAAAGGTATTCGTCCCAGCATCGAACAACAACTGCCGTCCTCGCCTTCTTCTCCACGCTGCTTTCTCCCGTCTTCTCGGCCTTTCCGCTCTTCGTGAATTGAGTGCTTTGTCCAGTGCTATTGTTGGCTGGAACGTCTCTCCGCACATGAGCATTCGAGTCGCCGTTACCAATGTAAAATCCATGAGGTTGCGGTGTCTTCTTGGGAAGTTCGCTGAACCGCGCAGCGTTGGCCTTGAAGCACTGGCGCTGCACCGTGGCCCAATCGACCTCGCGATAGTCCACGCGTGGGGTCTGGCTCCAGACGTCATCGGAGCCTTCGCTCTCACCGTGCTCCCCGGTGCCAAGACCTCCGGTCCTCGTAGAGTACCCGAAGCCGTAAGGCCCGTAGCGACCAAAGCGCTCAAAGCAGATATCCTCGGGGAGTTTCAAGACGTCATAAGACCCAGCGACGCTCTCAGGGAAACCGAGTGGTCGACCTTGGTAGTAACGCAGCGCCGGCGGGCGGACTTTGCCAGCAGCGTCGATGAAGCACTCTTGCATGTTGGATTCCTTGCTTCGATTCGGGTATTCTGTCCAGGGCTTGCTGGCGGGGATGTCCCTCTGGTCGGACTCGTCATGGCGCTCAGTGTCCTGAACCTCGACGGCGGTCGCTTCGCCAGGTCGAGCTAGCGCCAGCGGCTCATTAGGTCGTGGGTACTCTGGCTTGCTCTCCCGAAAAGGCTTTATCGTTCTTATCCCTCCGTAGTATCTCTCGAGGAACGGGAACTTTTCCCAGATCGGCGGGGGTGGCGGCGCCTTGTTGATCTTGCCGTTTGCTACCTTCCAGTTCTCGACTTGGCTGGCCCTGATCAGGCTGAATATCATCAGGAGGATGACTCCAGCAATGCCGAAGCAGATATACCGGGTGACCTTGGTTGGCAGTCGATAGGGATAGACGCTCGCAGGTCTCCGCTTGGGGGGTGGTGGAGTCCGCTTCGGCCGGAGGAGCGACCGGCTGGGGGCAGCGTCGGACACATTTCCAGATGAGTATGGTGATGAGGGGGAGTATGATATCTCCGAGTCGTCATCTGATGATGAATAGGTGTCGTTAGAGTATCGCTCTTTTGTCGGTGAGTCGGTTCTGCGGTAGAGCGGCAGACGCTGCTCTTGGGACCGCCGGAGCGGGTTCGAAAGAAGACCCATAGCGGGCCGTCTTTTCGTTCTGCAACTGCATTATGAATGTTAACTCAATGGCGCAACTCAAGAGCCGGTGGAATGTGCTTACCGTTCGCTCGTCTCCGGGTCTCGTAAGGAATGCGGCAGTCGAAGTAGGGCGATTTGGCCAGTGGTGGCCCACGTGCTGCTCGGAATGCACTTGCGAGCTCTCGAAGAGTCGGTGGAGGATGAAACGAGGTGAACGTAGAAAATGCACTCGGCTCTGCAAAAGGGACAATTATTTCGTGTGGAAGCTTCCGAGATGTCTGCTGCTAGCTTCCGCGCCTTCGACGAGGATCAATGATGTTAGTGTTGTCGGGTCGTCTTGGTTGCCGGGCAACGGGCCCCCCTCCACGCAATGAGCTGGCACCACACCGTGTAATGCCCACCAGTGATTCCATGCATGAGCATGCGCGAGCATAATTAACGTTGCACCTTGCCCCGGATGAGTTAACTGTTTCGGATCATCCTGGGCAGAACCTCGGGGAGCTGTCTGCGTGTGTTTCGAGAACAGGGTAGCTTGAATTGGACTCGAGGCTTTGGAAGCTGCCACCAGAACGCTCCTGCCTGGCCTGGCCCAGCATCGTGCCTGCCATCGTCTCCCTCTGTGTGCAGATGCAGGTTGGTCTGAGACTCTTGCGCCTCACTCAGCGCTCTGCGCAGTGAGATGCTCCTCTCACATTCTCTCCGTTCCGTACTCCTTTCAAATTGATCAACTGATCCGCGTTTCTCCACCCTGCGCGCAACACTCGCTGTGATCCCCCCGCGCTGTCGAGGCACTACCCGCGCACACAGTCTATCGCCGACACACGAGGACCAGCTGCACCTGCGGTGCTCCAAGAGTCCAGAATCCCAGGCAGAAGAAACAAGGCACGACGCCATCAAGAGTTGACAAGCACAAAGAAGCAAGGTTAAGCCGCCGAGGATGAGGTCACAGAGGATTTGGCTGCAGTCTGGCTCCGTCATTGGCAGCGCCAAAGATAGGGCCAGCGCCCCGACGCACCGTTTGTCTCGAGTCTGCTCTGCTGACCACCTCTGGACGCATGCGCATCTTCAACGTTGATCTTCGGGCCACCAGCCGCCGGGGGCTCGTACTCAGCGGCACATCGGTCTCGCTTGACGCTGCCCCCCGACCTCCCGCGCCGGGAGCCACCCAGTCTCAGCCTCTGTTCGGAAGCAACCCCGCCAGCCACGCTCCCAAGTCATCCGCTAGCGCTCCCATGAGCTGACGTCCCAACACTCGCTATACCTCAGCCCAACGTCATGGGGCTTGAAGCTGGGCGTGACCGACCCTTACCCGCCTGCCAACGATCTCCCGTTACGCGCAAACACACATCACCTTCGGCCGCCTGTGGTGCTACGTGGGGACGAGGGCTCTGGCATTCGCCAATGGTTCGACGTCTCGTCGCAGGCCATCCGGCTGGCCTATCATGCGCAGGATGATGTGTTTGCACGATGCCCGGATCGAACACAGCCCAAGTCCTGGCCTGTAGCAGATCAGGTGCCCAGGTCGCTGCAGGACCGAACTTTTGAGTTGTGAACCCTGCGTCTTCCTCTCGTGTGCTGCCCTGCCTTACTCCGCCTCCTCTCAACCCTACTTATATCCGGATGCCTCTCCGTATTCTCGTTGTTTCACTGTGAACTACCGTGTATCCCTCAGTAAGAAGTGAGGCACCCGAGAGCAGCTCTTGCATGGACTTGTTAGAGTCAACCTGGAGGCGAATTGCTTCATATCATCTACATTCCATATATCCCCGTCGTCTTTGAGTGAATCTCATCTGGCCTGCGACGATGACTACCCTCGCACCGACCGAAACAAGAACATTGGGCAGCGCTGTCTCGATGCCAAAGTACGAGCTCCGAGGTGAGCTCGAGGAGCCCGACCTCAAGGCATCGTGCGGCTTCCAGCAGCGTCCCATGTCCGTCACCCTCGACGGCACCTCCATCTTCACCCTCGCCCTCTCCCTCGTCCTCCTCATCCACTTCCTCGGCTCGCACGTCGTCCAGGTCCTCGTCAGCGTCGTGCCTCTCCTCCTCGCCATCCACAACGACTACCAAAACTTTATCAACCTCGGCCCCGGCGGCACACCCTCCACGTTTCAGGGCTACATCCGTATCACCTGGTTACGCCTGTGGGCCCTCCGGGATCCCTTCTCGGCGCCCACTCCGGACCCTTCCGTCGTCCCGGGGCAGGGCATCCTCAGCCGGCAGCGGCTCCCCTACCGTGCCGGTCCGCGACCGCTCGTGGCGGGCATCGCCCCCCAACGACAAGTGGACCAGCACGGGTCGCAGTCTTGCTACCTGTCTTTGCGGCGAGCCATGGGCCGGCTTAGTGCTCACAGCCCGCTCAAGTTCGGCACGGAGCGCTCATGTCTCGAGAAGCACGGGTTGGCCCTTTTCGCGAGGCACCCGCTGCAGACGAACTGCCAGGGCGAGATCTGTCACGTTCACGACTCGGACCACTCAATGCACATGTGCCTGCACCCAGACGACATCAGGGAACTGCTGAGCAAAGGCTGGGGCCAGAGACATCCGCTGGCGCGCAAGGGCTGGTTGCTGCAAATGCCCGTGTCTCCAGATTTCGTTATGGTGTACGCTCCTCGCAGTAAGTCTCAATTCCAAGCAATCAACCGATAATGGGAGCTTGTAAGGCTAACCATCGCCGATGGCGCATTATAGATGAGCACGAACTGCATATCACATACAAGATTGTCGAGGCTGCCATCTGGTACACCCTCGCCGAGCGCGTCGAGCTCGGCTCCTTGTCTAAATGAATTTCTCTCAAAGGCGGCCTACAAGAGGCATCGGCGCCGAGTCTTGTGTTTGTTTGAAACTGGCAGCTTTTTGTTATTAGCAGGTCTATGCCGCGGTAGCCTGGGGTATCTGAGCAATTAAAATACAATTAATGTTGTACACCACCGCTGCGTCTCTTGCACCGGGCGGCTCATCACCACCACCTCCTAGTCCGAGTCGTCATCATCCTTTCCGCCGTCACTCTTTCTGAACTTCTCCTTGCCCGTCGCAATCTCCGCCACGACGATGCGCCCGGCAAAGTTTCGTCCGTCCATGAGCTCGATGCAGCGCAGGGCCGCCTCGGGTTCCTTAAACTTCACGGTGACGATGCCCTCTGGCTCCTGGTCGTAGAGCACCACGCTGGTGACGGTCCCTAGCTTGGAGCACTCATCGCGAACGTCCTCCTTGATCTCCAGGACGTTGGCCGGGTCCTCCTCCAGCTCGAAGATGCGGAACATCTGGCGAAGTATCACCTTCTTGTGCCCCTTGGACGGGACCACCTCCGCCGGCGCCGTGAACCTCTCGTCCTCCTCGTCGCTCCAGTCGGCGAGCTTGGCGTCGAGCTTCTGCGTCTTCTTGATGACCTTTTGCCGGTCGCTCTGCGGGGGCCGCTTGGCGCTGGGCTGGCTGGCAGGCGTCGAGGTGCCGCTCTCCGGGTTGTATTTTACCTTTTTGTAGCTCGAGTCGGCCTCCTGCACGCGGATGCGGCCCTCGCCCTTGCCGCTGGGCAGGACGCGGAAGTCGGAGTCGTCGAGCAGCGTGAGGGCCATTTGGACGCTCGGCGGCTTGAAGAAGACGACGAGCGCGTCGCCCTTGAATTGCCCGGCGTCGTCCGTGTACAGCTTGATTCGCGGGGCGCCGCTGTCGATTTCCTCGGCGATGATGCCGCACTTCCGCGAGAAGAGGTCGTGGATCTCGGTGACGGTCGCGTCGAGCGGGAGGCCCGTCACGTACACGGCCGTGTTCTTAGGGGGCAGTTTGTTCTTGCTCTTCTTGGCCGGAGGTGCGCTCCTCGACCTCGCCGTTCCCTACAAACGAAGTACCTTGGTAAGACGGTGCTGCCGGGGCTGGGCATCGCAAGGATTTATATTTCTTACCTCGGATGCTTCCTCCGCCGTGTCCATCTTTCGCTTCTGCGCGCCCCCTCCGTTGCTGTGCGCCGCGGCCGCCGCAGGGGCCGTCACTCCGCCGTAGTCCTCAGCTTCGAGGGGCTCCTCGTCGTCGTCATCCCCCGTCGGGATCCACTCCTTGAGCTCCGGGTCGAACTCGAACTCGGTGCCGTCGTCGTGCACGGCGATGAACTTGCCGTCGAGCTTGGAGAAGGAGATGCGGTCGTCCCCGTCGAACTCCTCTGGGTTCTTGGGGAACGGAGGGTCCATTGCGGCGGGGGGGTGTTCCTGTCGCGCCCGAGAGAGCGAGCGTGCGGGCCGCGGTGATCAATATGAGAGAGGAGCACGTCGTACGCGCGATGTAAAGCGCAAGGAGGACGGGAGAGAAGACGCTGCAAGACGAAGGGTGGAAAAGTAGGTGTTTGTAAGGTGAGGTGGTCGGCCAGCGGAAGATTTACGTTGTCGCGGCGCCACAGGCTGGGCCCACCATGAGGTACCAGGCAGCTAGGTGCTACGCCGTTCGCAGCGTGCACCACGAGCATTCCTCAAGCAAGGGTGTAAGTTGTAAGAACCGCAGACTCCAGATTCATCGGTCGATGATGCTTTGCGTCAAATACGAACCAGAAAATTATACAGCTCGCAATGATTGCCTCATTCTTCATCAACATCAATGAGGAGGCACGATGGCGCAAGAGACACGGCTTGATGACGTTGTAAACATGATGGCTTGAGACTACCACCCTCTATCTTAATAATCCTCAATTCAATCACTGCCGATTCCTCAAGCCTGCTCGTCCTTTACTGTCTTCTTCGCGCCCTCCACAAACGCCTTGACGGCGTGCCCGCCACCGAGGGGCATGCCGCTGTCCGGGATGTAGCCACCGTTCTCGACCTTGATATGCAATGCGTCTGCAATGCCCGGCAGCCCTCCATCTCGCAGCGCCATGGTAAGACTCCCTAGAGCTTGGTGGAACTGCGGGCTCCTCACAACCTTCCTCAGCAAGCTGCGCTTGTCCTCCAGCGAGAGAGACGCCTTGGCAGCCTCGACGGCCTCGGCCGTCGGCTCCGCCTTGCCATCAAAGTCGGACACGCCCGTGGCGAGCACCATGACAGCCGGGGGCAGGCAGCCGAGGAGGGTGTCCGCAAGCTCAGGAGAGGCAGCATCCACCATGGCGACCGTGACGGAGGTCGGGAGGAGATGGTTGAGGTAGGGATACGGCAGGTCGGCATGCTGCTGCTGCTGGCCTCCAGCGAGTCCGGGCTGACCACGAAGTGATTCGAGAAAGTTTCTTACCGCGGCGGCGGCGTCCGGGGCTGACGAGGAGGCACTATGGTATCAAAGAAATGGTCAGCCCAATGCACTTGCCATGTTGGGCCATTAATTCGTCGTCACATCAGTCGGCTTCTCCAAGAGAAATGGATTCTTTATTGTACGTCCATTTGACTCCAATGTGCGCCAGACCGTGCGTCTGTATTCGCTATCCTGCCAGGTAGCGGCGCAACTGTGCCGAGCAACCGTGTGCCTTCAAAACATGGGCCGTGAGATGGGATATCACCTACGCTCTTGCACCATCAGCGCCGCCTTCTCTCGACTCCTCGCCCTCTTCTCTGACATCTCCTCCTGTCGCGTCCGGACCCGCACCACCGCTGCCGCTACCGCGGTGGCTGTGAGGGCCCCGCGTACCCTCGACGTCTTCCATGGGCTCGTCATCGTCATCGTCTCGTCGGTCGTCAACGTTGCGGACAGCTGCGAGCTCCCGGGCCACGTTGACCTCTTCTCCCTGAAGCAGGCGGTGGACGATGTCGCCTATCTTGCGGTCTCGGGGGCTGAACCAGCCCGCATCGCCGTTTCGGCTCTGTGGCTTCGATTGCAACCAGAACAGGTATCGCTGGGACGACGACGCGAACTTCAGCACGAATATGCGGCCGTTTGTCTTGGACGTGGGGTGTTCCGCGTCGTACTCGTAGGGGACGAAGCTTCCGTCGGTCGGCACCATCACCAGGTCGAGCTCGGGCTCGTCCAACGGGTCGCTCCGCTTCCGCCAGCAAAAGTGTACCAGATCTGCAGTGGTCAGCGACGGCAGAGACGGACATCCGAGTAGCAATGTCAAACGAACCATCTTCGGAGTAGAGGTAGATGTAGCCAGGCTGTTCCTGGGGCTTCACCTTGGCCGGCCGGTCGCCGTTCTGTGACATGCAACGGTGAGCAACATGCACGCGACTGCCCCAAGGCGGATCGAGGTCGGATAGCGCTCACCTGCGTTTCGCACTGACCGGCCTTGAACGTTATGATGGGAGAAATAGGCATGGCGGCTCACTTTGACGCGAGGATGTGGCTGTGTATCGTCAAAGGGCTACGAAGTGGGAGAGATGCGAGAGGCAATGGAAGGCTGAGGTTACGGATGGAGCTCCGCCGCGCTGCTATGCCACACCAGGGCAGGCTGCAGGAGCTCTTACGTCGGAGCTCTGTGGCGTGGCACTTGGCTTGGTGGTACCTCGAAGCTGCCGGACCGACCATTCTCCGAGCAGAGGCCCAGGGACCCAGCAACGCCTTCCAGATCCACTCCAAAATTTGGCCCAAATAAATTTCCCGTCTGCAGCGCAATTCTCTCTCTTCCTCAACTTCGCTTGCACTCCCGTGCTCGAAACGCAACAAGGTGTTCGCCTGCGCCTCTCAATCACCTGCCATGCGCTGATGTCCTTTTATCTGTCAAGTGACAGATGATTCTTGCATTAATGAGACTGCAGCGGCCTGCACTCGTCCTGTTGCCCTCGGACGAGTGGCCAGCCTGAGGTGAGCATCCACTGTCCCACGAACGTTTTCCCTTGAGCAATCCCTTGCTCTTCCCCTTTACATGATGATACAAATTGGTCCGTGTTTCGGAGGCGGACTCAAGACCCGCTGCTTGACGAAACAACAAGCACATCGTGCATCTCTGATCACTTTTACTGCCTACTTGATGTCGTTCATCACTTTTGGCAATCACATGTGCTAACACACGTGTCACAGACAAGATGGGACTGTGAGAGCCTTGGTCGAGATCATTTCAGATCATATCGCTCATTACTTTCACGGATTGATCCGCTGGCGCGGTGCGAGCTCGAGCCCAACCTGGCCGTTTCGTGTCAAGGACTGTCCTCCACAGGGACCAGGCCCAGTGGCAACAACGAAAGTCACGACTCAAGCCATCGCTCGAGGAATCGCGATGTGCGGTTATCATGTGGAATGGTCATGCAACCGTGCCTCGCCAAGCCTGGGAGGTCGTCCCTTGTCACCACCGCGAATTATGCGTTGCATCTCGCGCATATGGCGAGCAGATCGAAATTCGCGGATGGCGAAGTCCATTCGACTGTAACACATGTCCTTGTCGGTGAAGCTCTAGCTTTTCAGCCACCGCATACCCTTCCTCTTTGCGTCGTAGAAGTGACGGCCGACAGACATCGGATCTGTCTCGCAGGTTTCAGAGCTGCAACCCATGACCATAAGTTGCATTATATAGCAATTGAAATGTAAAAGAGTATCGAATATGAGCAATTAGTGTATATGGATGGTGATTCCTCAGGTCCTGGAGTGATGGTGGGCGCACAGAGCTTGGACCCAGGATGGCAGGGGATTATGTGTGCTGCGCAGCGCTTGCGCTCCCGGCTATCGATAAGCCCATCGGCGGGGTACCGACCCTCCAGCGCTCCAACTCAACGCGTCTGGCTCGGTAGCTCGCGTCACCTCTGCTTCACACACTCCGCGGCTCGCGTCATCAATACCGGTCGCATCGCGGCCCAGAGGACGCTTCTCACAATGTACGGGGACATGGGAGTCAAATTGGTGCGAGAATTTCCACTTGTGTTTGCACGACAGCACACGGGCGTTAACGACAGATGCAGGTCCAACATGCGAAACGGACACAGAACCTTGCCCATCTCCCACCCTACCAGACGGAGCTCGTGCGAGCCGTGACGAGAGAGGTCCGGGACCTCGACAAGGATGTGGCAGACCTGCTGGAGCCGTTCCAAGGCTCGTTCGATCCGGCCGCCGATCAGGCTGTCGCCTGTACGCTCCTCGTGAACCATCTCTCCATGCGCCGCAACAAGCGATGCCTGTTGGCGTACCACAGGACGCGGACGGACAAGCTTGAGGAGCTCGTATGGAACGGTTCCGACGTCGTCGACCTGTCGGGGCAGCAGCTGCGCGAGTCTGCCGGCGGTGCCAACGGAGCATCCGCGGCAGGCGCTGAGGGGCCGACGAGCAGCTTGAGCCCGCAGGAGGAGGACTACGTCCGGCAGTACAGCGACCTCCTGGCCGCATACAAGGGGCAGTGGACAGACATTGACTTGACGGGCAGTCTCGAACCCCCGAGAGACCTCTTCATCGATGTCCGCGTGCTCAAGGACGCTGGCGAGATCCAGACAGAATACGGGTACGTTTCACTAATTCCGCAACCACGAACCTTTGACTAACGGTAATACTCCAGAGCAATTACGTTGACAAAGAACAGCCAATTTTACGTGCGGCAGGGCGACGTGGAGCGACTTATTGCCCAGGGGTACCTGCAGAAACTGAGTTGATCCGGAAGACGTCAAGTTCGACACCGAGGACGGAGTCATACCATTACCAACCGCATAGCCGGCCCGGCAAGCCGTGTCCCAAAGTCGTTTCTTGCATCTACCCGCGGAGGCGCGGAGGCTCTCGGGCGAGACCTCGCGACATCGTCGTGGTGCGCAATCGATCCGGACGCCGAGAGCGGACGTTACAACTTAGCCTCTTGTCCCGCTCATCGGCCTGTACAAGGGCGAGAAGCAGCGTCGTGTTGGGAACACGAACGGCATCTTGTGTGACCACTCAAGCGGCACCACATGCAGAGACGGGAGTAGGACGGCCGGGGTATAGCAGCGATGTTGCATCGACGGAGCATGTCGGTGTAACGCAGCCAATGGAGCGGGACGGGCCATGGATCGGAACAGCGCGAGCGGGATTCAAGGCCGGTTGAGGAGTCGCATGTCGGCGGGTGTCGGGCCGCAGCGGATGCCATGAGCCGGGGCGGATGGGCAGGCCGGGGGTAGCCCGCATGGCGGCTTGGTACCATTCCATTGCCGTGTGCGCTTGGACGTGGGATATAGTTCAAACGTTATGAATTGAGGCAGCTTGGCGTTGCAACGGTGGAAAGGCATATAGGGCCGAGACGGTCATGGCGTGCTGCACGGCCATGGCGACTTTTGACGTCTTGCCCAGTTTTTGTTCGATGCTACATAATACCAGCATGCCTGCATACACCTTCCGGCCAGCGGTGAATTGGGAGCAGCTCGCTGTGCCATGTGCAAGTCTCGCCGTCTGCATGCCGGCTGAGACATCCAGACGCCTCCTGTTGGTGGCGTCGACGTCGGGAGTTCCAGTGCCGCAGAAGCCCAATCAAGCCCCGGAACCGGCTTCCCCACACGGCCTGTGGCAGCAGTCCTGGCGGGCAGTCTGGGCTGCGGGCACTGGCAGCTGGAGGGGGAGAGGGAGCAGCCCGTCCGCCCAAGACACCCACAGCGCAGGGGGGGCGCCGCCGCTGCACGAAATGGCAGCCAGCCCATTGGCCGCCAGTGCATTGATGCATGATCGGAGAACAGGGGACGGAGCACTCCGTCCTCTGGCTGCGCCCGCGAAAGCAGAGCTCGTCGACGGGGTAGCTTTGACGTTGGCCAGCGGCAGATGATGCAATGGTTGCGTGCGGCATCCCTCGCCGATCAGGGCATCGTGGATGAATGGATGAGGTGCTTCTGCAGCCCGCCCGCCCGCGGCATTACACCTTACTCGCGCTCCTTCCCTGGGCTGCTCCTGCCAGGCTCTCTGCCCGGCCACTAACGTAGGCAACTGACTGGGTCTAAATCGCCCCGATCCCGATAAGAGGACGCGCGCTGCAGAGCGCACGATAGCCGTGGCGTCCATCCCAAGCTTGTTTTGACTCGGCAAATTCTGAGCTGGGACCGGCAAGGTTCGCCTCTACCCCTCTCGCAAAAAGCTCTAGCCAAAGCTTCTCGGGATCATCATTATCAATTTCTGGTGCCTGGCCTGGCCGTCCTCGTGCCTCCTAATTGCGCCGGTCACCGTGCCCTCTGCCCATCTGCCATCGACCGAAAACGACCGTGGGCCGACCTTTGCCGATCGCTACACCACTTTCCAACTGACGACCACGTCCCGGGATATGCACAACCGCCGTTGAACGAGGCGCCGGTCTGCTCTTGGGGAGCTGCCGGCATCGGCATCTGACAATGTCCAACTCGATCTTGGGCTTCTCGCCTTGGCGCAGGCGAGCTTCGAGCCTCTCCTCGCACCGCGACCAGGCCCACGGCGACGGCGAGGACGGCGGCGAGCATCACCAGGACTCGTCGCTGCCAATCCCCTCCTCGCGCCTGCTCTCGTCATCGGTCGGCTCGCCAAAGGGAGCACGCGAGCCGATCCGCTCGTACATTCACGCATCGGTGAGGGATCAGCTCGGTAGGAATTCGCCGTCCCCGATTTGAGACATACTCCCCGAGCCCGTAGCTGACCACTGGACATGTAGCACCCGTCGACAGCGAGCAGAACGCCCGCACGGTCCGCGAGGACACGGCCGAGCTCGCGAGCTACCTGCTGTCGGACGGCTCGGCGCAACGGCGGGCCTCGTTCCTGCAGCGGCAGCGTGGCTCAGTCCAGGATCTCTTTTCGCCGGACCGCGACGGCCATGTTGAGCGGCCCGACGACGACGCATGCACCACCCAAACTATCCAAGAAGTCTCGGAGCCGGCCTCACCAGAGAGCGAATCGGAAGAACCTGCAGAGGAAGGAGGTCCGTCGGTCCTGGCCAACCTGCTTAAGAGGTCGCCGCCGCAATCCGTCGCTGCCGACTCACCACTTCCGTCTGAGACGCATCTGCCGATACCCAAAGCCCCGTCGCCGCAGCCGGAGGCCCCGCTATGGACAGACACCGAGCCCACGGCGACTGAGGAAACGCCACTCCTGGGGGAATCCGCCCAGGTCCTGTACGACCACGCTGTGGATGAGGAGGGTCAGAAGAAGCCACCCACCAGGAGGTGGCTCAGTGGGCTTTCAGAGCGAGGTCAAAAGATCCATGGCCACGTCGCCAATGCCGTCGCGGTAGCGGCTAATCCGCGGCGCTGGGATCACCGGGCAATATGGCGTAACCTCATCGTCGAGCCTGTCTCTTGCCTCCCCGCCGTGGCTGTTGGCCTGTTGCTAAACATACTCGACGCTCTTTCTTACGGTAAGTGTCGGCTCATGCAATACGGTGTGAGGAGTTGCTGACCTGTGTAGGCATGATTCTGTTCCCGCTTGGAAAGCCAATCTTTGCGCACTTGGGTTCCGCCGGCATCTCCATTTACTACGTCAGCACCATTGTTTCCCAGCTCATCTTCTCCACTGGAAGCATCTTCAGGGGGGCAGTAGGCTCAGAACTGGTACGCCTCATTGTGTTTTCCCGGCGGTCGTTCGTGTGTGGCTGATTACGATATAGATTGAAGTCGTGCCCTTCTTCCACAACATGGCCCAGAAGATTACCGATATTGTCGGCGAGGACGACCCTGACGCCGTAATTGCGACGACAATTGTGGCCTACGCCACGAGCTCCATGATGACAGGCCTGGTGTTTTATCTCATGGGCAAATTTAAATTCGGCTACATGGTCGGCTTCATCCCCAGGCACATCTTGATCGGATGCATTGGTGGTGTCGGATGGTTCCTAATCGCCACAGGCTTCGAGGTATCGGCAAGACTGGACGGCAGCCTCGAATACGACCTCGACACCCTCAAGAAGCTTATGCAGGCCGACACCGTATTGCTGTGGATCTTCCCTCTGGTCCTGGCAATTGTCCTGTTCTACGGCCAGTCCAAGGTCCGGTCCAAGTACTTCCTGCCGCTGTACATCTTAGCGATACCCCTGGTCTTTTACATATTTGTTGCGGCCATCGACGTGTTGAACGCAGACACCCTCCGCGACCATGGATGGATCTTCCAGGGACCACCGCCGGATGAACCCTGGTGGTACTTTTATACGTTGTATCAGTTCAAGCTGGTTCGATGGGACGCCGTCGTGGAGGTCATTCCGGCCATGCTGGCTCTCACGTTCTTCGGCATCCTCCATGTGCCCATCAACGTTCCGGCGCTGGCGCTCAACTGCGGCGAGGACAACGCTGATCTGGACAAGGAGCTGAAGCTCCACGGCTACTCTAACTTCTTGTCTGGTTGCTTCGGCAGCATCCAGAACTATCTCGTGTACGCCAATACGGTCTTTTTCATTCGGTCAGGAGGCGACAGGCGCTTGGCTGGGTACATTCTGGCCGCGCTCACCTTCGGAGTCATGCTGATCGGCCCGTCCCTCATTGGCTTTATCCCCGTCATGATGGTGGGAACACTCATTTTCGATCTCGGCTTCGAGCTGCTGCTGGAAGCCGTTTGGCTTCCGCGGAAGAAACTCAAGGTTGCCGAGTACCTGACTGTGATTGCAATTGTACTAGTCATGGGCATCTACGACTTTGTTGTTGGTATCGGTGTGGGCATTTTGTTGGCCTTTGTGTCGCTCATCATACAGACCTCGCGAGTGTCTGCCATTCGAGGGACATACGACGGCGACATTGTCACCTCGACAGTGCGACGCAACCCGTCGCAACATCATTACTTGCACCAAGCGGGACAACAGATTTACATCATCAAACTAAATGGCTACCTCTTCTTCGGCACCATCGTCAGCGTCGAGGAAAAGATCCGAGCGATCCTAGACGATAACGTGTTTGCGAAGAAGCCCATCAAGTTCCTCATTCTGGACTTGTGGCATGTCAGCGGGCTTGACTACTCGGCAGGTGAGGCGTTCAACACCATAAGTCGGCTCCTCGACAACAAGGGGGTCCTTTTGGTGCTCAGCGGCGTCGACGCCGACAGCCAGCTTGGGCGGAACTTGCGCGCTGTCGGTCTCGGGAGCGACAAGATTGAGGTCACAATGCTCCCTAACCTGAACTCAGCACTAGAAAGCTGCGAGAACGAGCTCTTGAAGACTCTCTACGCAAGACAAGAAGAGTTGAATGGGGCAAAGCGAAACGCCACAGCAAGCCTGGATGTACCTACGGCCACGACCACGTCGGCATTGTCATCATTCGATCCTCCGTTCAATTCACCCCGGCAAAACCACTTGGCCGAGGCGGCGCGGGAAGCCCTGACCAACGTCGAGGTTCAGCGGCCGTCCAGGTGGCAGAGCTTCAAGGAGCCACTGCGACTCATGCTGCAGGTATTCCAGGGCCTGAGCGACAAGAACGAAGACTTTTGGTTTCAGGCAGCCTCATACTTTAAGCGAAAGGAGTACGCAGCGGGCAAGGTGCTCTTCCAGCGCGGGGAGCCTGCCCACGGGTTCTACCTCGTCGAGCGGGGCATCCTCCGCGCCGAGTACGACCTGCCTCAGGGATGGCTTTGCGAGAGCATCGTTGCGGGAACGACGTGTGGCGAGCTGCCTTTCTTCTCTGAGACGGAGCGGACGGCGACGGCGCAGGTAGACAGGGACTGCGTGGTCTGGCAGATGGACCGTGAGAGCTGGGAGAAGCTCCAGAAAGACCATCCGGACGTGGCGCGGGAGCTGCTGCGGATATCGCTCAAGTTGACGAGCGAGCGTATGAGCGCCATTACGTCGTATATTTTGGCTATGGCCGGGTAGGCGATTGGTGTGCGAGTTGTCGTGCCCTCTCAAGGGCGGGTCATAGGTTACTCTTGTATCTAAGCGATTGCTCGATGGGTTGATATTCCCGACATGTAAATTGGCTCAGATATGTTTCCTGGTCAGTGAGAGACGAGGGTGATGTAGAGCCTCGCGAGTCGTGACGTGAAGTCGGCCGTGAGAAGCGGTTAGTCAGCGCCAATTTGCCGGAAATGGAAATCGCCCCTAGGGTAGTCAACTTTGTCAGACTTGGGAACTACATCAAACTCCTCCATCAGTCCGATCTCCTGTGTCTCGATGAAAAGAGGTGTCTAAAGGGGTCATTCACGGGCCTGGAAAGTAAGGCTGCTGTATTTAAGGGCTCGTTGTCGTTGTCGACCCGTTGTGGTGGGTGTTGGAGGTTCGTCTGATTTGCCACTTTGACCGCAAGGGCGTCGACTTTATATCCACATGCCCACGACTCAACGCCATCACTCAACCCAACTCCCATCACAACCATCAATACGCTGGGCATCGGTAGCTCTACACGATGCCAAAGAGCTTACGTTCTATCCTGGGAACATCCAGCAGGGTGACAAAGCCATCTCGGCCCGCGCAGCCCCGGCAAGGCACATCGACGACATCCCCGTCATCCCCCTCGCCACGCAAAGGCACCAGCAACGCCCGGGGGCAGCAGCGGCGGCGGCGGCAACACAATGACGACGACGACGATGAGGACGCGCTCTTCCAGGACAAGCTCACCGACGTGGGCGCCGTCGTGAAGCTGCTCGAGGAGGAGCTCACGCTGCGGGACGTGGTGCAGGCGATGCGGTACATCCGCGCGCACATGTTCACGCCCGTGCCGCCCACGGGCTTCAAGTCGACGCGCGCCGCCGAGCTGCTCAACTACCGGGCCGCCGTGCCGCCGCTCGTCACCCTCGGGCACGTCAACGCCGTGCTGGTGCGCGCGTCGCCCACGCGCACCGAGCGCGAGGTCGTCGAGCTCGTGGGCCGCGGGGTGCTGCGAAGGGTGCGCGTGGAGCGTCGCGGCGGTGCGGGCGAGGCGCTCGTCGAGGCGGCGGACCTCGAGGCCATGCTGCGTGGTCGCGGCGCGGGTGGCGGTATGGTGTTGAAGGAGACGGCGGACGCGTTTCTTGCGTTCCTGGCGCGGAACCCGACGGCGCAGACGCTCGCCGCGGAGGACCTGGACGGCGACGACGATAGTGAGAATGGTAGCCTCGGCAGGGCGAGGACGGATGAGCTCGTCCGGGCCGGGTTCCTCACGAGCGCGACGCACGCCACGCCGGGGGACACGCTGCACGTGCGGCCCGAGGACCGCACGACACTCACGTCCATCGAGCACGTCTCGCGCTTCGCCTCGGGCACCGTCTCCGCAGTCGGCGGACAGAACGCGATCCACCTAGCCGGCGGCAGCGGCAGCAGCGGAGGAAGAAGCAGCAGCAGCGGCCGACGCATCCCGACACTCCCATCGTCCTCGTCCTCGCTCGGGGCCACAGAGCCGGGGAGCTTCCGGGTGGCGGTCCCCGGCCACGGGCGGTACCTCAAGCTGGCCGAGGGAAGCGTGGACTGGATCCGCGAGGCGCTGGGGCGGACGCGCTGGGGCGAGGCGCCCGAGTCGTGGCTGCGGGTGCGCTTCGAGGGCGGGGGGCTGTACGGCACGCGCTGGAAGGAGTTTTGGGGCGTCGAGTGGGAGTGGGTGCTTGGGCAGGCGGTCGGGCTTGGGGCCGTTGAGGTGTTTGAGACGGGCAGCGTGGGGAGGGGCGTGAGGGCGCTGGGCGGGTGACGGCTGTGGTGCCTCCCGTCTATGTGACTGTCTGCCTGTCTATCTTGGCTGGCTGGCAGGCTGGTCCTTGACAGTCCCGCCGTCTTCTCCCCCCTTAGGCCTCATGAGGGCTTCAACGCCGAAGCTTGCGCGGCACTTGGGTTTGATGGTGTGTGACGCGAGTTTCGCGATGGATGGCCATCCGTCTGATGCGTAACCCGTCTGCTGGGACGACACTGACTCCGCCGACCATGGGGACTCCTGCCTCGTCGTCAAAACACTCATCGATGCACCTCACACGATCTACAAGTACGTAGTGAGTTGTCCGCCCCCCTCCCATGGCTTTCACGGTACCACCACGCCAAGCGTTTCGTGGTTGCCTGCGCGGCCCTCGGGACTCTTGGTGTTCCGTCTGGTTGTATACCTGCGCTTCGTTCGGTGGGTCAGGGGTGAAGGGGCCCAAGGGGGTTGTGGTCTTGAATGGGCTACACACATGACACCGAGAGATAGATACAGTAGTCAAACTGTGACCAATCTGGCCAAGAGGGTCCGTTGCAAAGAGCATATGCCCAGTTGAGGGTGGATGGCGAAGCTGCCCCTGTTTGTACATTATACGATATACGATACATGGTATTAGACGGAGTGTCCGAAGTGGTCTGCGCTCGGACGTTCCTTGCGTGCCCACGCGGTATCTCAGTCCTGAGCAAGGGCATAAAGTGAGGCATCGTTGCCCGTGCAACATAGTGAGTGGGCTGGCCAAGATGCCAAAGCTTGGATGCCTAGACGCACATCAAGGCTCGGCGGCATGGCAGCCAAGGACCTCGCATCACGCATGACATCGTGACTGGACCCTGTAGTCCAGAACGCCTGAGAATTGTCATACCATCCGTCCATCCGGGTCGCGGGCAAGCATCCATCTCAACTTCTCATCCTCGGTGCCGCGACTCGTGTACGTCATCGGCCACCCACCTCACCTTAACGAAACAAACTCACTATCTGCAAACTCAGAAGCCCCGATGGCCGATGACTGTTCACTGGATTCTCCCTAGTCACCGTATCATGCAATTCCATTATTAATGCCACTCGCAACAAAGGACGCAGCAGGTCGGAGTTCGCACTTCGGAGTTAACCCGATAGCTGTCTGCCTGGGGGCGATCGCGGTGCATGCAGCTCCATTTGGGTGAATATAGTCTAGTCAGGGCCGGCGAGCTAGACCGAGATGATCGTAACAGGCGATAGTCGACAACCGCGTGCATAGCAGGCTGCCGTATTTTCGTTCTCCCCGTCCGAGATAAAAAGATGTGCCCGAGCCGCATTCCAAAACTCCTGTAGTGTGTTAGTATCGTTCCCAGTGTCGTTAAAGTCCGTCTTCCACAGGGTTGATCCTGGCTCCGCCGAAACACCAGACATCGTCGTCGCAACGGAACAACGCATCGCGCATCGACTCATCGGACACAGGGTCCCATTTCTGAGACAGAGACAAACACGGTCACCCCAGCATGGCAACGTATTTTGTCACTGGGGCATCCCGGGGCCTGGGCCTCGGCATTTGCACCGCCCTGGTTGCCCGCCCGGCGACAGAGGTATCCGCCGTCTTCGCCGCCGTCCGCAGCGAGACAGACGCGCTGAAACGCCTCATCGCCGACTCGTCCGGCCGGGTGCAGGCCGTCTCGGTCGATGTGACGTCCGAGAATAGCGTCAAGGGTGCCGCGGCCAAAGTCGAGCATGGCCTGGGAAACAAGGGCCTTGACGCCGTGGTGAATGCGGCTGGTGTCATGGACTTTGTTCCCGATGGCATCGAGCACATGTGAGTTGCGTGCAAGCTGCTATGGCGGTGTCAGTCACTCATGCGTGAATGTCATGACGCAACATAGGAACGAGCTTAGCTCGACCCTCACCACCAACGTGACAAGCGTACACCTCGTCACGGCTGCCCTGCTACCGCTGCTCCGCCGTGGCAGTCTGAAAAAGATCATCAACATGTGAAGTACCCCGGTTCGTTTTATCATCGGGCCCCGGCTGACGCGTGCTAGATCGTCAACCCTCGGGTCCATCAGCATGGCAGCCACGTTCTCGCCAAGTCCGGCGCCTGCGTACAAGGTTTCCAAGGCGGCTCTCAACATGCTGACGGTGCAGTACGCCCTCTCTCTCAAGAACGAGGGCTTCACCGCCGTCGTCATCTCACCAGGGGTAAGTGAGGTACAGAACAGGCGCACTGGCGACATGCCGGCGCCTTCCCACGAGACGCCTCAAACGCTGATCACACATCTTGGCTGGCGCAGTGGGTAAAGACGGACATGGGCAGCTCGCGGGCCGATCTCGACATCGAAACGAGCATCAAGGCGACGCTGGATATCGTGGACCGGGTGGGGGCTTCCGACACTGGCAAGTTCTTCAACATCCACGTTCCGGCATGGGAGGATGCCCCAGGAATGAACCAGTACGACGGCGGGCAGCCTCCGTGGTAGCGCGCCTGCGCCCGCGGCTATTCGGAGGGCGAGGGGGGATAACTTGGCTGGGAGCATCGGCGGTTGAGGATTTTGTGTGTCCCGTCTGGAATCCAAGGATGAGCCATGTAAAAGTGAGATGCCAAGTTTCAGATGCCACGCCGGATGGCTTGCCTTAAGTCTGACATACCGCGCGCCGCGCGTACTCAATCACTTTACGCGACCCAAGAGTGGTAACGTGCGTGGATGGCCTGGAACCATTTCGGGCGCATTGTCAAGTGCGCACACTTTGCGACGCCGGTGTCTCTGGTGGGTGCGACAAACGACGACCGAGCATTCCACGAGCTCATCCCAACAACCCCACACTCAAGCTCCTCTCGAGATATTAAGCGACGGTCCATAGACAGCTCATCGGTCACAACCGAGCCGTGAGGCTACGCTTGACTCGAGAGAAACGGCATTCTGCGGGTACGTCAGTTCGGGGGTGCATAACATGTCTTAGTAGTCTTGCCCTTTCCGTTGCATCTCACCTCACATGGTGAGATACTCGGACATGCTGTTTCTCTTGACTATAACGCCGCCCCTCCTGCTGGCCAACGGATTCAAGTAGTAGATGCCGTGGGGCTAAATGTATTATTAGTCTCCTTCTCATTTATGTGTACATAATAGTAGACTGTGGACTGCAGTGTGTACGAGCAGCAGCAAAGTGGGCAGAGAGGTCCACTGGCATCGATACGAGATGTCGTGCATTGCGGGTACAAGCCGGCGAACTGGCAAAAGTTTAAGCTTGGCCGCTACGAGATGCAGGTACGGGTACTGTAATCGAGGTGTAGGTACTCCATGACATGGTTGAAACCTTTCCATCCATGCGGGGGATGCCGTGCTGCGACAGAGTTCACGCAAAGGTCCTTTGCTCCACTGACCTGATCGCGGTGTGATGTGCGTCTTTGTATCAGCCACTTGGGGAGGGGTGGTTCCACCGGATGAGCCGAGACGGATACTCGCGATAGGAGAACGAGTTGCAATCAGCTTTTGACGGGGCGAGCAGAGAGACAAGAGGCACAACACACCCCATTCGACAAGACGTGTGGCTCGGAGGTGAAGGGTCCGCCGGCCCGGCATCAGTGGCCGGCGCAGGTACCAGATTAACCAGGCCAGCCCGCGCCAGGGGATCATGGCCTGGCTTCGGCGGCGTTGGGCATCCTTGATGAACTGGGGTCGACGCCTCCACTCTCTAATACCGGCATGCCGGATGTGTTCCTGGTGCCTGCATATTTGTACGAGGATGTAGCCAACATGAAAGGGGGGCCCTGCGCCGTTGCGGCCGTCCGCCCAAGCCGGACTCGCAGGCGCCGGCCAGTCGACGCCTGTGACGAGGCTTGTACGATGCAACCCTGGAGGTGATTCGGCCGCAGGACGGCCACATGCCGGCAGGCGACGATGCCGCGGCAGCGCCGCACTCGGGCGGGTTGGTCTGCTTTCGCGGCTTGGCCTCGATCATGACGACGACGTCGACGACGATCTCCTAGCGACTGCAGGTCGTTAGTCCAGATGCCATGTGCGAATGTACAAGTACGAGTACTGCCAAGATTGGACCAGGTGCGCTCTGCGTGAAGAAGTCCGTGTCCTCGTGGGCGGACGGGGATGGAGGCGACGGCCGCCGCTGGAGACTGGAGACCGGGCATCGGATCGACGACAAGAGAAGCAACAGCAGCAGGAAGCTCTTCTTTCTCGTCCAGCACACCAACTCGCAAGGTCCGCGGCTAACCTGATGCGGGGGGCAACCCTTGCTGGCGCCCTCCAAGGGTGGGATGTAATCGAAATTGGCCCAGGCCCTTGGCTTGGAAAAGAAAGGGGGGAGAAGCATTCCCAGGGGTCGGTCCCGATGTGCAGAGGGAAAAAAAGGGGTGGGGGAAGAGGAGCCAAAGAATATTGATGACGATGTCACCTGCGCGTCTGCCAAGTGATGAGCTCGTGAGGGAGGCGACGATATTGGCTGCGCCTTGGTCGCGTGTGAGGCAGAAGGGAGATGAGGATCTTGACCGGGCTGGCTGGAGGCGATGCGTGGATAGGTTGAGGCTCAGATTGGTGCTCGGGGTTGTTGAGGTGCTGACGGGAGTGTCCAGATGCAGCAGAGCACGGCGGCGGCAGTTGGGGCTGCTAGCGCTGCTGAACTCGGGAGCCAGCCCGTCGAGGTGCCAAGGGCAGGTCCTGGGCTACTAGAGGGGCACTGGGGGCACTGCAGGCGCTAGGTACCTACGGGCACGTCCCCGGCCTTCCATGGACTTGGGGTTCCGTCCAGGGTGCCCGGGGCCTTCGGGCGGTCCCTTTCGGGGGTCACCCACCACTCCACTGAGCCGACGAAGCAGGTGCCCGGGTGCTGGTAAACCCGGCATAGAGGCTGCCCGGGGCTCTGCTCAGGTGCCCCAACTCGACAGACGTTCCTGCGTAAAACGCCCACCATTGACTGCTCGCTGGACGGTCGAGAAAATTACCTACAATATTGGGACACCCCTCCACCTCGGACGGTCCGGCCGCAGCTCGTCCGATGTTGTTGACACTTGCAGTCGACAAAGACATGCCGCCCATGTTGGTGGCAGCAAGCTCTTGGCCACTAAAGGCTCGGGCCTGGACCGCGCTCCACTCGCCGTCTCCAGCGTCGCGGGGTGTCCCGGCAAGGCGCGAGCCTGATGGCCGGTGGATGGTGGGCTCCGGCTAGGCCAGGCCAGGCACTGGGCCGCCACCCGCACCGGTGGCACCCACCAGGGCCTCCCCCCCCAAAAAAAAAGTCAATCTCTCAAACGCCAGCTTGGGAAGCCTTCCCGGACGGCGTGTGCATTCCTCGCGCATACAGGCGTGCCCGACACATCACGAACGGCACCGAATGGGTAAGGTATTGGAGCTCTGCCTCTTGCAAACCACCGGCGACAGCGGCACCAACGGGATCGTCATCGGCCTCGTCGTTGTGCTTGCCCGCTCGCTCGCCCGGTCCCTCCAGGGTCCCAAGTTTCGTCACGCGAAAGCTGCGCGTGGCGTGACCGGGACGCAGACTGGCAGACAAAGGGGGCGTGGCCCGGCCAACCCAGCCGAATCAGAGGCAGCGGGCTCGCCTGGTCTGACTATCGCAATTACCGTCAGGTAATTACACCATTGAGAACCACCTGCGCCCACCACCACTCCCGTCACCACCAGGCGGGCACCCACCCGATGGGCTGGGCTGTGCTGTGCTGCTTGCTGTGCTGTGCTGCGTGCTGTGCTGCGCTGCTGTTGCGGCGCTCCAGCTGTGTGGGTGGAAGCCCCAGAAAGACAGTTCAGGGGTGGCTGCAGCGACCGCGACCGCCAACAGCCACCCACGCCGAGTGAGAGCCACTAGGCTAGGTCGCCTTCGACCCGACGCCCCCCGCGCTAGATTAACCCCTGGGCTCTCTGCGCTATACGGCAGCGCCATACTGTGCCCGCTGTGCCCTCTGCTCCGTCTGCTCGTCCCATGCTGCTAGTGGACGTTTTTCAAGGCACGCCAGATCCGTGACGCCGCGTCCTGCGGCTTAGCGCAACAGCACCCAGAGGCAGGTCATTTATAGGCCCGTAGCGTCTTGGGTTAGTGCTCTGCAGTGCACCCCCGGACAGGTACTCGTACAGTCCAATGTACCCCAATGTAGCCCGGCATTGCGGGTAGGCCGTAGTAGCTCACCTGGGCGCTGCTTCCTTCCACTCCACCTCCCACGTCTTCAACACCATCGTCTAAACCTCCCTCCGTCTTCCGCTCCCGCTCTCCACCTTCACCCGCCCCGGAGCAGAGAGTCGTATCCTGGCCCAGGGAGTTTTGCGTCTATTGGGCCTCTCCCTCTGCCCGTCCTCCCCCGCCTCGCATCGCACGCCGTCGCGTTTGCGTCATTCTATTGCCAGGCGCACAGTAACGAAGCGCCCCTTCGGCTCGGTGGGCCTGTCTCGAAGCCTCCCGTCCTACTCCCAGGCAAGGGAACCCTCTCGCTCGTTCTCAGATATCTCGGCCACGGCCGCCACCTGCCCCTCCCCCGCGACGATACGGTCGACTACTTCCCCAAGATCGACCTCGCCGTTCCCCATCGCCGACACGTCTCGTCAGCACAGCTGCAGGCTCGCTCAATCACCGCCTCGGACGCTCGGACGAAGCCACAGCGACTTGCACGCAACCGCCGCGGTCTGGCCGATCTCATCAGCTCGTGCGAGCCCAGCACAAGACCGAAAAAGGAATCAGCGTCGAGACCTGCGTTGCTAGTGCCCTGCCTGACATTCGACGGTCGCATCTTGTGCAGACCTGAGTCGGACGCCATCTGCTTTGTTTCTTTTGGCCCACTGCCGCGTCTTTCCCAGCAGAGGCGACGGCAACAGACGGACGGGCCTGCTGTTTTTGCTCCGACCACGGAAGTCTGGTCTGGTTGGCCGACAGGCCACGCTGTCGGCCAAGTTTACGGTACGGCATCGCCTCCCACCTCTGCCACATGACCCGATGCAATGCCTACGTTGTATTGTTGCGGCAAGCACAGGAGTTATTCCTGCGCTATGGTCACCACCACCTCCATGATCGAGTCTCGATACTGACCGCTCTCATTTTCAGGCAAACACTTGCCGCAAATCCGGTGCCATTGGGCGGCCAGCGCCCAGCACTCACCCTTCGTTTTATCCTTTCATTCATGCGAGCCGCCGTCATTCGCGGTCGCCTGACCAAGCATATCAGCGCGGATTGCGTCCACCAGCCCGACATTTCGCCGTTCACCAGTGCCTTGATTCAGCTCGCGTGTTAATGGACTCGACAAAGGCCGGCGCGTAGTCCCCCCGCTGCAACAGCCCACGTCTGCTTCGGCTGCTCCGCCGATTACATCGACAAATATCTACCACTATGGCCACAGCATTGCCTCGCCCTTCGCGGCCGTCGAACGGCCCGCCAAGCATGGCGCTGCCTGCGCTACCCATCAGCAAGACTCGAAAGAGCACCGGCAACCTGAACGCTGCCGCCAACCCCATTAAATCCGCACCCACAACGCCTCGCAGTGGCCTGCGAGCCCCGTCCGGCGTTCTCGCACCTCCTTTACCGATCCCGAACTCCGCCTTGCCTCACCCGAGGCCGTCTCCGAGCCTCAACGCTGCTGGCAAGACTCTTAGAAAGACAGTCAGCATCAACTCTTTCCCTCATCCGCCCAGGGGCGACCACCGGTCGACTAGCATGCCTCCTAGCCCCCTGGCAAACGAACAGGCTCGATCCCGCAAAGCCAAGTCACCAAAAGAGCTCTCCCACAGCACCTTCTCGCCCACCACCCCTAGCCTTCTCAACGGGAGCGGAGAGGGCAAGTCAGTGAGCAGCGTGCGCATGTCGGACGGCCTGATCAGCGTCTCCTCGCCGCCTCATAGTCGCAGTTCCTCGGCCCAGGACTCATACTCGACATCTGCCACCACGTACGAGGACTCGGGCGAGGCATCACAGAACGCTGACGCATCCCGGCCTGCCTCCATGTCGGACAAGCGGTCCTCCAAGGGCGAGGGCAAGGGCAACGTTATCGTGAGCGTGCGTGTGCGGCCCGACGCCAACACCGACCAGCAAAGTCCTGAGGGAGAATGGATGGTGGACGGCCGAAAGTCACTCATCGCCTACCGGGGCAAAGAGGGCGGCGATCATTACTATGGTATGCTATGCAAAAACACAGCTCATCGCTTCGCCTCGTTGCTAACCTCGGCTCAGACAATGTCTTTACGACTCATGACAATAACTCACGCGTCTACGACCATATCGCAAAGCGACTCGTCCGCCGCGTCATGGAGGGCTATCACGGCACCGTCTTCGCCTACGGTATGACGGGTACTGGAAAGACGTTTTCCATGCAGGGAACGGCCTCTTCGCCGGGCGTGATCCCTCTAGCCATTACCGACATCTTCTCCTACATCCGCGAAACCCCATCCCGAGAGTTCTTGCTCCGAGTAAGCTATCTGGAAATTTATAACGAGAAGATTCATGACTTGTTGAGCATGCCCACGGGGAGCGGTGTCGGTGGCGCCGTCCAACAAGACGAGATCAAGCTGCGTGAGGACAGCAAGCGTGGCGTCTACGCGACCCCGCTCAAGGAGGAGATTGTTCAGAGCCCTACCCAGCTGCTGCGAGTGATTGCTCGCGGTGACCAGGCCCGTCGGACGGCCAGCACGCAGTTCAACGCCCGTAGCTCTCGAAGTCACGCCGTCGTGCAGATCGTCGTTGAAAGCCGCGAGCGCATTCCAGGAGCCGGAGCTGGCGGACCCGAGGGCAAGAGATCTGCCATACTTCCTGGAGGAGTTCGAGTGTCGACGCTGAGCCTTATTGACCTTGCTGGCTCGGAGAAGGCCGCCGAGTCCAAGGAGCGCAGACAGGAAGGTGCTCACATCAACAAGAGCCTTCTGACGCTGGGCACCGTCATCGCCAAGCTCTCTGAATGGAAAGACAAGGAAGCCAAGGGCGGGGACAAGGAGGGAAAACATCTGCCGTACCGTGACAGCAAACTGACGCGCCTGCTTCAGGGTGCATTATCCGGCAACTCGCTGGTCAGCATCCTTTGCACGATTCAAATAGGTGCCGCTGGCAGCGCCGCCGCCGCAAACACCCACACGACCGAAACACTAAACACCCTCAAGTTTGCGTCGAGGGCCAAGAACAACATTGTGAGTCACGCAAAGAGAGCCGAAGAAGCCCTCGGTGCCGGCGGCGATGGCGGTGCTCGAGTGCTATTGGAGCGATACCGGATGGAAATTCTTGAGCTCCGGCAGCAACTCGACACTCAGGCCAAGAAGAACAAGGATACTGAGAAGGAGAAGGAGGATGAAGCGGAGAAGGTTCGTGAGCAGGAAATGTCGGAACGACACGAAGAACAGATGCTCGAGATGCAACTCGCGAGGACGGCACTGAAAGAGCGCATCGATCATCTGAACCGGCTCATACTCAGCTCCAAGTCGATTGGCGTCAACTCGAACGGATCCATGAGCTCTCTCGGCCAGTATGCCAGGTTCTCTCAGCTGTCACTCACGGGCTCTGTTCGGTCGTCGGTTGCCACTTCCAACGGCACGAAGCCGTTGATGGAGCGGACCGCATCCATGACTTCGACTTCGTCCACGATCGGGCGGCGGTCGAGCGCCGGACAGAGATTATGCGGCGGAGACGCCGACGCTGCGGAAGGCGAGGACGACAGCGTCGGAGAATACGGAGACGGGACTGCGTCCCTGACGGCGCAGAACCGAGCGCTGCAGGCCGACCTGGCGGACAAGAACCGATACATCGCGACGCTAGAGAAACGGCTTCTTCAGGCGCGGCGAGCGAGCTCGTCCCGAACGTCGGTCGGCTTCTCGACGCCAAAGGGAATCATGGTTGGTGAAGATCACAGCGTTGCCGCCGCGTTGAAGGAGAAGGACGCAGAGATCGCGGACCTGCGAGAGAGACTATACGACAAGGACAGGATGTTGTCAGCCCTCCGCAGTGCGGCCCGGTCGCGAGACAATGCCGACGCATCGGTCGAGGCGCGATCTCCTCAGTCTCAACACGGAGGGCGTGGTAAGCACCCGACGAGCCCGACTCCAACGAAGCCAGCGAGGGGACGCACCAAGAGCGTCGACGAGATGAACCGGATGCTCGAGGAAATGATCCAGGACGGCGTCGAGACGGGACACATCGTTAAGAGTGCTCGTGGCAGCGTCCGACTGCCGGTGAGCCACGGAACGGAGACGCTGGGCTCCCCTGGGGAGCTCGAGCCACTGCGTCAGGGCCCCGTACCGCCCGAGGGCGACGGCTTGGCCGCGATTGAGGCTGCCTGAGACTGGTCTGCCCGGCGGGAGCAGCGGACCGTTTTACCGCGGACGAAGCGGTGGGTAAGGAAGGCATGGAGAATACGAGGAGTTTGGGAGTGAAGGCCGTTACCGGAATTGCTTGCGCTATACCCGATTTCGTGTTTGTTTCTGCTGCCTTTTCGTGTCTGGTTCAACGCCTCCCGAGTCTTGGGAGGAGGCGAACGGGAGACACTTTGGGACTTTTTTGCCGGGTAGGCTTGGCTTGGAGAGGCACTTTGCTCAGGGCGGGAACGATTCCCTTTATGCCGTTGTTTACGTCTACGATGCATGGCCCATTCGAGGAGGAACGTTTACGCTCTCTTGGAGTTTGCTGAAGCCGAGATGGCATTTTTATGTACTGTATACGAGACGGCGGGCTGGCGGGACTTATGAAGGCCCCCCTTTGTTAATGGAGAACGAAATATAAGGTTAAAAGCCTAGCAATGAAAGCTGTCATGTTGGTGATGAGTTGAGGATCAAAGCACGAGTGCTCTTACACAATATGAAGCCGCTATACAAGCAAGACCGGCCAGCGTGCGAACGAAGGTTGCCAGATCGCCAGAGCGGGAACTATGCCGGAAGCTACACCAAATCCCACCACGGATGTGGCCGCCGGTGGGCACGGATCTGTCCTAAAGAAACCGTTTGTGCACTCGCTCATGCAAGCAGCTGTCGATGGAGGCACGTTGGCGCGGGCGTTTCGAAGCCCGACGACCATGTTGTCGAATGCAGCCCCAGGTCCCACTCATCATGAACCGCGGCCGTCCCCGTCCTGCCTGCAGGCACGCACTTGTGGACTGAGCTGCCTCGCACGAACATGGATCCAATGTAACTACACTCGTATGGACTCGCACTGGCAATGACGAAGACTTAATTAATGATCGACACTTGGCGGACTAGGGGCAGGGGACCTTGTCTGTCGCCCGTGCAATGGTTCGAAGGGTCTCTCTCTGGGCACGAAAGCGGGCGCTGCGGCGCCACCCACATGCCACAGTTCTCTCTACTCGAAACATGTACCCTTCTTCCCTGGGCTGTCATGAATGGAAGAACGTGTGATGATGGGCGGGCTGAGTGGCGGCGGCGTTTCAGCACATCAATAATGTGTGCGTACGTAGGAGGATGGGTGAGGGCGACTGTCGTGCATAGAGTAAGTTGCATGCCCTTGATGTTCAGCCGCCTGCATCGCGCGCGGGAAGGAGCGGCAAAGAGGTCGCAGAGAAACGCGCGCGCGGGCTTGCAGCACTTGTACGCGATTGGATGCCGACGGGCGAGTCAGGATGGGACGATGAGCCGTGGTCGTCGACCCGAGGAGGGAGAAGGTCGGCGGCTGAGGCAGGTGCAGGATGGGCAGGCAGGCGCGATGAGCCGCGTGGTTGGCTCCGCTGCGGTGGTGAAGCTGCCCCGAGTCCTGTCGTGCCTGCCCTGGCTGGCCGTGGCCCGTTCAAGTGGGCGTTGTTGGTCCCTTGTGGCAGGAGCAGCCCCCCTCCAGACCCTCTGGTTGGCTCCCGAGGCTCCCCCAGCGACCCCCGGGCCCGAATGGTGAAACGCCTCAAGCGGGGGCTGACCAGGCGGGAGCGGCGCCCGGGGTACGTGCCCTTCGGGTAGTGCTCTGGCGAGGGCGTCGCGCGCCAGGTACCCGGGGTTGCTGTATCTTGGCATGGGCGGCTGCCCTCGTTTCATCTTTTTTTTTTCTGTCTGTTCTGGCTATGCTCGGTCTGCCACCAACACGGGCGGCGGCGCAGGGGGGGCATGACGGACCCCTGAACTTTATGACGACACTTTGATCCAGCCGGGACCCAGTTTGACGCACTTCTGCCCGCCTGAGCTTTGTCCATCACTCCGCACATCGCCATTCTTTTGGCGGTCCAAGGGCACAACAAGGGGCCGCCTGCTGCTTCCCCCTCCCTGCTTTCCCGCTTGGCGCGCGCGCCGTCTGTGTGTCTCTGTCGCTGTGTTCGGGCCTCTGCGCGTCGCATAACACTCGCAGTGCAGGGCACGTACGTACGAGCACTGGGGTGCCCGCGTGTCCAAACATTCTTCATCCTCTTCATGCACGATGGGCCGAGTGAGTGGTTGGGTGGGTGACTGACTGTGACTGACGGTCCACGAGAGACCAGGCAGCAGGGCCCTTTCTCCTCTCTGGCTGGCGGGCCGCGGGCGCACAAAGTAATACTCGTACTCGTGGAACGGAGGCCCCCCTCGGGATGACAGGTGCTGCGTGTCAGTGTCCACGACCTCCGCCACCGCTGCTGCTGCTGCTGTTGTCCTCGTCGAACCCTTACCCGGCCGTCTGCTGCTGATCCGCACATCCCCGTTTTGCTTTCCTCGTAAGAAAAGAAAGAAGGAAAAACTCAAATCTACCGCCCAAGCAACAAAGGGCACCCCGCTCTCTGGTCAATCAACATCGTCATCCGTTCGACGCCGCGGCGTCTCGAGTTCTTCTCTGGCCTCACCTTCCGTTCCGGGGGCGCGGTCCTCGACATTACCGCCCGGGCCAGGGTCCGGCTCATGCAGCCATCTCTCTCGCGACTGCTAGAGCTCGTGTGGGGGCCCAGTTTGAGAAAGATTGGGATACCAAGCTAGAGAGCTCCGGGGGCTTGGGCCGCCATCGCCCCATCCCCAGCACTTTTTCTTTTCGTTCGGACGGACGAGGCGCTGCGGCAACTACGCAACGCGGTGCGGTGCGGTGCGGTGCAGTGCAGTGGAGGCCAGGACAGGGGTCCCTTTTCTATCCTCCGGTTTGCACCTCCTCGATCGGCGCATGCCCGGCTGACCCAGCGGCGACCAAAGACGTCGTCGGTGCGGGCAGCCAGCTATATCCTTGCTCGTCCTTGCCTCGGGCCGTCGTCGACAGGTTCCTGGCAGTGCTGCGTTTCTTTGCCGGACTCGTACATACTCTTAAAGCACCCCGCGCGCCGTCGCCCTCGGTCGGCAGGATAATATCCGCCATCCAAGACCGGATCGTCCCCCCTCGCGACCGTCGGTGACGATCACTTGCTGGCTTTGATTGCTCGATGACGCGGGGAGAGTGAATCGGAATGGGTCCTGCTCGCCCTGAGCGCCCCTTGGTTTGTTGACGGACCAATTCTGTCTTCCCCTTCCCGACGACTTCATTCGACTTCTTCATTCTGCTTCCGACTTACTCATCGCCCACCGACCTGGCCAGTCCGTTGGTTGGGCCTCATTCTCTCTTCTTGGCGCTCTCATTCCGCTTTCGCTTCGGCTTCCGATTCTGCCCCTTTACCTCTTCTTCTCTGCCAACTGCCTACTATCGACTTTCATTTTTCCGTTGGCGTGCGTTTTTTCAGTTCTCATACTGCTCGCGTCTTGATGCGCCTCATTTCGCCAGCGTGGTAGGGTCACGATACCTCCACCACCACCACCACCGTCGCCACGATGGCGCCTCGCCTCGATCTCACTCATTCCACCCACCACAAGGTCATGGTCGCGCCGCCCAGGATCAATCTCCGCCGGGCGGCGTCGTACAACAACAGCCAGGAACGCGGCTCCGCGCCCCTGTCCGCCACTACTTCGCGGTTCAACTTCAACCACCTTCTCTTCTCTCCTCCGCCGTCGCCGAGCCTCCCAGCGCTGGTCCCTCGCCCGAAGCGGTCGCCGTCACAGATCTTCAAGACACGGCCGCGGCGCGCCCTGCGCAACTTGCTTTACTTCATCACCATCGTTAGCGCGCTTTATGTCTTTGTCTTCGCCTGCCGGCACCGAGATGCCATCCCGGCCGTGCTGCCGCACTTTAGAGGGGAGGAGTTCGAGATGGTGGGGCAGGACGTCCTGCCCGACTTTCCCACACCGATAGTCGTCACCGACAACAAGAAGCGGTCGAAGTGGACCGTCGCCATACCTCACAGCTACGAGTTCCCGCTGTCGATCAGGGAGTATTCTGGGATGAGCGGCCGGTGCCGCGAGGTGTCATCCCACGCGAGGGAGCTGTCCCACAAGTCGCCCCTGACCGACGACATGTTTCTGGCATACGACAAACCCGACGACTATTTCGTCGACGTCGAGGAGGCGGAGAAGAACGGCCTTCTCCCCAGTGCGTCCAAGGGGTCGCCGCCGAAACGCTCCGGGCACTTTGTCGGGCTGGACTGGGAGGCCATGGCGGGCAAGCCCGTGTGCGAGAAATCGCTGACGTATGTCATGGAGAGCCCAGACGCCGGGCTGGGCAGGTCGATGATGGCGCTATGGACGCTCTATGCGTTGGCAAAGGAGCAGGGTCGGGCGTTCTTCGTCGACGACTCCCGGTGGGCCTACGGAGCGTATACGGACCTCTTCCAGGCTCCGCCGCTTCCCGACTGTCGACCGCCCCCCAGGCATCACATGCTGCCTTGCCCCGTTCAAGCTCGACACCTGGTCGTGTCTAGCGTCACGTCCAAGGACGTATACCCGGCCTTGATGGCCAAGCACCGGCGCAACACCGGTGCGCACAGCACCCAGCATGACCTGCTGGAGCTGGCTCGGACTGGCTACAAAGCCTTGTTCGTACTCAACAAGGGGGACCAGGAGTACGTCGACAAGAGGATCAAGGAGCTCGAGGCCAAGGCCAAGTCGGGCGACACATCCTCTCAAGACGCCCCCATCATCGGGCTCCACATTCGGCGAGGGGATACGCATCCCCTCGAGTACCAGTATCGGGACACGTACATACCCGCAGAAGTATTTATCGGTCACGCCCATCGGCTGGCTGAGTCACATTACAACGGCAGCAAGGCCGAAGGCGCTCAGCACAGGTCGGTTACCGTAATTGCCTCGGACGACCCCATGGTCAGCAAGGAGGCCGACTTCTCCGACGCCTTCCTCGCCCAGAAGCGCATCCGGCTAGCCACCAAGGAAGAGGCCAAGGGCCAGGAGGACACCAACCCGCACGTGCTGCACCGGTTCAAGGAGGAGGCGCAGGGCTGGGAGGGCGGCTTCTTCGCGCCCATGTTCTGGAACCTCGGCGCCGAGCGCAAGAACAACGCCGCCGCCACGGCCGCGCCCGGCGAGGACGGCGACGGCTCCAGGCAGGCGGAGCCCCCCTCGGAGCAGACGCTCAAGCTGCGCAGCTTCATCGGCCGCGCCTACGTCATGGACCTGGCGGTGCTGGCGGGCGCGAGCGACAAGGTTGTGTGCGCCGTCAGCGCCACGGGGTGCAAGCTGCTGGGCGTCATGCTGGGGTGGGAGCGCGGCATGGAGAGGGGCGCGTGGGTGAATATCGATGGAGGATATAGCTGGAGCGGGCTGAGCTGGTAGGCCACGCACGCCTCCCGGGAGCCGATGGCCAGATAGGCGACGCTCGCCAACAGCAGAGTAACGAAGCGGTTTTTATCAGCCGCCTGCCACCACCACCACAGGTGCGGCAGTAGCAGGCTCAGATGCTCGAGGTGGGAAGCATTCGTTTAGCGTGAGGAAGCATCACACGGCGCATATTGGCTATTTGCGGAGTCAAGCATGATACCTAAGTAGTTGCGGGATGGATTTTGTCGTTCTGAACATTCGTTGCCAGGGTCCGAGTATAGAACCCCCGTTTCGTGGCTGGTGGGACTGGCTCCCGGCCACGACTATCAAAATTGAGTCTTTTTGGAATATGCAGCTTGCTGCTGCCATGGTTTCGCACGGAGATATGTCCTGCGTGTCGCGAAGTGCTGATGAGACACGGCGGTGCTTGCAGGAAGCTCGTCTGATGCTGAAACTTGAGAAAAGAGCAATAGAGAAAAGAGCAATAGATGCTTTGCGACTTTGGAAACTCGCCATGACGACTTACACACAGCACAGGCATCTCTCACGAGACACGGGCGCGCACGCTGTCAGAGGAAAACAGGTCGTGCCATCCAAGTGATCCTATTTTCGAACGGCGGCGTGAGACTCACCGGGCGCAGACGTGGTCTCTTCCAACGTCGGAGCACAGTTCAGAACGAAAAGAAGGGGGTGTTTCGTTTCCAATTCGACTTTTAAGCCGGGCGTCGTCGGACAGGCGCACGTGGCGCAAGGTTGCTTACATCCAATCCGCCCAGACACCATTGTGCTCTTGCGCTTGATCTTGCGTCTGAGAAGGGTCTTCGTCTGCGGCAGGATTATTTTCCTGTGACATGAGAGTGAGTAATATATTAAATACGTGGCCGGGCGGCGGCTTCGGATATGGAGGGAGAGGGAGTCATGCAAAGCATCGCCGTTTCGATATTTCGGCAGTGGTGATAGCTACATAGTTGAAGCACGGCTTTCAAGGATCTCACAGCTGAAGCTCGACACCCTTCGACAAGGTACGATGCGCGAGTCACTCGACATGCTCGTATGCTCTCCACATCTTTTCTTGCCTATTAACGTTGCACACCATAGATGAAGCCCATGTACCTCCTCTCCCTCCTCCTCACATGCATCCACGCAACATCCGCCACCATCACCACCACCACCATCACCACCACCACCACACAACCCACCACCAACGCAACAACAGACCTCATCAAGCGAGAAAACTACGAAATCGTCTGCCACACCGGGACGCAAATGTGCTGGGGCGCTGCCATCCCGCAAAACGTCTTCGGCTGGGTCGAGGACCGCTACCGCAAGCTCGACAACAAGACCGTCTACAAGAGCGGCCAGCACATCATCTGCGTCAGGTGGCTCTTCGGCCCCGCGGGCTTCTGCCTCTTCTGGGAGCAGATCGACAAGGACGCGTCGGGCGTCGAGCGCACGGGCGCCCTCGTCAAGAAGCTCCTCGTGCACCTGCTCGCGTGCGAGGACAAGCGCTGCGGGGTGGTCAGGGGCGGGGGGAACAGGCTCAAGATTGACTACGTGGGGAACACGCGCGGCTGTCATGGTATATGCTAAAGCCGGCGGCCAGCGTTTGCTTCGCACTCGACTGAGCTAAAGGGGGG